AAACCTGGACACCTGACTTTGAGTCTCATGGCAGAACTAATCCTGCTCCAAAATCTTGCTGTAGAGGCTGGGATCGCTGGCCATGAACAGGGTAGAAAAGCTGGACTAGTGTGAAAAGCTACTATTTTATTCTAGCAGAGTCTCCCTGTACGGGTCTGAAGGCAATCAGTCCCGTGATGCTCCTTACCTAAAGCCACTGGATTGGTACGACAGTCCAGCAGCAAGGTGTATGGGGACACCAGAGTTGAGGGTATATGACAGAGGTAAAATAAAATTAGAATGAAGGCTGAATTCATCAGGATATGCAATGCACTGCTTCAGCATCTCATTTTCTTGCACATGGCTTGCAAGAGCAGTTAATAATAGAATACGTATCTGCGGGAGTCCAAAGAGATTGTTTAATTATGAAATGCTTAGGAAAGGCTGTTGGATATCCATTAGTCATGGGTGTGGTAGCCAAGCCCCTTCAAGAGCTCTGACTGTTCTTGGACTTGGCAAGATTTGCCATATTACCTGGTTGGATGAGTTTTACCCAGATTTTATACATGCCACCAAGTACCAGTTTGGTCCATTACCTGGCCCAGATTCTAAGCTTTCTTTAAAATAAAAGTAGATCTCTAGCCCTTTTAGAGCCAGAAGTATATGATAAAACATGCAGTTGCTGATTTGGCTGTTTGGTAAGGGGGGTGGGCGGGAGCTTTTCCACATGATTAGCCAAAGAGCCAAGCCAGCTGGACAACATGTCGTAGAGATTGTATAAACTGAAGTAAATGTTTCACTTGTGGGGGCATGCTTGCTCCCTAGCTGGTTTGCGAAGGCCTGGAATCTTACTGCAGAGCTGCCTCCAAACTGGGCATAAAAAGCAGTGGAGCCACGGCAATGAATGCTGCCTAGGGGATTATTGGGAGCTGACGTACATAAGTGGAAATTGCCCAGGCTTTGATATTATACATCTGACTGCATTTCCTGCTTTGGTGGGGTGTCATCTCAGTAATTCTTGAAGTCCCTTCAAGCTCTTATAGTTTGGTGAATCCTGTGGCCTTCCTGAGGCATCAGCTTTCATGTTTAATTCCATAGGCTTCTGGGAGCTTAATTTGCTGCTGCCAGGAGGAAAGGAAAACCAAGAGAGTTATTAGATCTTTTACAGTAGCTTGTTGTTAAGCTAATAATTGCTATGAATCTTAAATTTCTAGAAAGACGTTTCAATTTATTTATTTTATTTATTTATTTGATTTATATCCCGCTCATCTGATACATCTGTACCACTCTGAGCGGCTAACAACAATGTTAACACAATTATACAATAATACAAAAATACATGTTAACTACTAAACATAACCCACAGCCCCCTCCAGAATTCAAATAAAACAATTCATTAAATTTCTTGCATGAGGACTACATCCTATAATTCAATCATGTGGCCATTCTGTTCATTCTATTGAAGCCAGATACAAACTGGAAAAAAGCTGCAGACCTTATTAAGCGAGGCACCGCTGTATTTGGAATCAAATGGGAAGGAGAGATATATTTGGGGGGTTATCAGCATACTAATGCACCAAAGCCCGAAACTCCAATCTTTTGCAGCGGTTTCATGTACAGGTTGAATAATGTTGCAGGGTTTTGAATTTCTGCTTAAAATCCTCTATTTGACTACATAGTAGAAATATAGACAGGAGAATACCTTCACGCTCCCCAGGTAGTCCACTCTTTTCTTATTAACTGACACTTGCAGTCTCAATAACTAAGACATGATTAGTATGAGAGAGAATAACAAATGTTACATTTACTTACAGATCAACAGCAAACTGACAAACATGACTGCTTTTAGCAACAGACTTTAACAGATTCAAAGAGAGGGAAAGAGTACTGAGCAGAGAGGCAGGGCTCTCTTTGAATTCAGAGGCAGGGAAAGAGCAATTGGTTAATGCTGGCTAAATTAACAGTTACTCCAGTCCAGAAAAATCCTTCACAGACAAACAAACTACAGGCAGAATGCGAGGTCTTAAATTATTTGTCTACTGATGTTATATTTTATATTTTTATATTTTTAATATTTTATTATGTATGTTATGTGTGTTGGAAGCCGCCTAGACAGGAGGGGGGAAAATACAATCAATCAATCAATCAATCAATCAATCAATCAATCAATAAAAAACTTCAACAGTTTCCTTTACCCAATGTATTCCAAAAACAACCCTATCAGGGAGATATGACTGAATATTATTGACTTGCTCACGGATATCAACTAAACTTTGTGAGTGATAACGGATTTGAACTAGACTCCCTGTTTACATGGCCAGTTGTCTATCTACATTACTTCTCTCAGATCAGTGGTTGCTATATTAAGGATTCCAAGGTTGAAACATATTAGTGCAAAAAATTGAGGTGCTTATTTTTTTTTGACCTGAAAAAAGACACATTGATGTTTATGCATGGATTTTTTCATATTATGCAACTAAGACTAAATAATTTGCATAATATACAAATTATTTTGCTGAGTCTTCCAAACTAAAATAGGGCTGCCCTAGGTTTGGCTCAATGACTGGTTTTAATTTGTGAAAGCAGAGGGGCGCATCTTTAAATGTAACAGAGGCTTGAAGGTTTTTGAAAATTTGCAGTCAGGGTCAACTGGGAATTGATCTCCTCTGAACAGTTTCCTATTTAATTGGTTTATAAATAATTTGAAATGTGGCTTAAAAGAATTTGCAGAGGGTTTAGTTAATACAAAACAACCACGCGCCTTTCAGCATCTGGAAGACTATCGGATGTATTGTGGCATAATCAGTACTGTATTTGTCTTGAAGACTTTCCTCTTCCACACTGCCATCGTTCCTCTCAAAAATGGCTTGTGGGTCATTTAAAAAGTTAGAATTTCTTGAAAGGCATGCATACTTTTTTGTCTACTGGATATGAAAAGTCTGGGATTCAGAATAATCTCTCTCTCTCTGTCTCTTCTCTTTACTGCCTCCCTGCACTTTCCCCATAAAGATATCAGAGAGCTGCCGAAGAAGCGACTGCAGAGAAAAAAAGAAGTGTAAGTATTTAAAGATTTTCATGGACTACATGCCAGCAGGAACGCAAGACCAGCACCTTGGGTTTTTTTGGTTCTTAAAGTGACTGTTTTTGAGTTATCTCCAGACATTTGTCTTTTTCTTGTGATCATCCAGTGTTGCCAGGGAAGTTTGCTTTGCTTGATTTTATTTGGCTCCACAGTTCTGGCCTCTCTTTGACCCACTTTCGTGCCCTTTCAAGGGTTGACAGAAGCACAAGAAAGTCAAGTGACTTTCCTGAGGTCACATACTGACTCGCTAGATCAGCTTCTCAAACTAAAAAAATATTCTTAGCTTGTGTCCTTTTGCCCTAAACTCAAAACATGAATAGCCCTTTCTGTGTTCGGGAATGAAGGCAGCTGTTGGAGTTTAAGGTCTCTTATTCATTTCTAAGCTTTGAAGCTGAAATGGATTCTGTTTGTAGTTTTGCCTGATCTCATTTTGAAGCTACTGTACCTTACTGCTCTCTGGCAGAGACCAGGATGAGCAGCTTCTGGGGAGGGGCTGCACTGGCACTCTTTGAAACGTCTCCCCCCCCCCGTCCCAAAGTCACACCCCTCTACTGCTCCTGAATTTGCTGTGGGGGAAAATGTGTCATTTTCCCATTAAACATGGCTGTGTGGGAAACACACATCTTACTCACAAAGAAAAGCAATGCTATTTCATTTCATTTTTTTGCTGCTGCCAGAGCAAATCTGAGAGTGTGGTGGAGAGAGCTGAAAAAAATGGGCAGAGGGCTGATTGCAGCCTGCAAACAATGACTGAAATCCATTGACTCAATAGAACTTACATAGGTGTTGACTCACCAAGTTATTGCTGATTGAATGGGCCTATTCTCACTGCAACTTACTGCTGGATTTCAGCCAATATCTTGCCACCCTTATCCTAAAGCAGCCTTGGAAAATGGTTTGCTGATCTTTATGCCTGACCCTTATTCCTTAACTCTTACTTTACACAGAAGTAACCTGAATAAGGAACAGATAGCTGTATGGCTTTCCTGTCCAAAATAACATGTGTGTCATTTTTCGATGGCTGAGCAGTGTGTCCAGCCCAAAGTTTAACTTTTGTACGAGGGTGTTTATGAGCAGCCACCCTGAATGTGTGACTGGAATGAATGAAACTGTTCAGTTTAACTGTTTTCAATTATTCTTTTCTAATCATCCTAAATGAACATAATCCTGATTAAGGGACTCTGGGGGAGGGGCAATCCTGTGTAAGCCACATAGCAGCCTCTCCAAACTTATTTTATGTGTAAACTCCTAACGTCATCTTCATTTATTTAATGAAAGAAAAGAAAGAAAGAAAGAAAGAAAACAATCCACATTACAGCTAATATGTTACATAATTTTGCATTGCCTTTGCACTTTAGAAATGGTCGTCCTTTTGTGGTTTCATTGGATGCATTTACTGTGGAACATTGTATATCTGAGGAAAATGAAATTGCCTTTTATGAGAGACAGGTCCAGTGTTTCTGGGTATACTCTTGAGCCTTAACCAGAACTTCTCATTGTGTGCGGGGTACACTTGGAGAAAGCATGATGAGTTTATGTGCATGGAGCATGCAGGTACATGCAGCTGTATATCAGTTACTGAGTAGCAGTTCATGTGTTGATGTCACATTGAATATATCAAACAATGAGACCAAGCTGTGCATGTGACGTCAGGGATGGAGGCTGTGGCATCCTTCTGCTCCTCTTTCAAGATATAGAGAAAGTTTGGGTAGTGCTGTGGCCTTGAAGAATTCTCATCTTCTCTGTTGCCTCATCTTCACTGTGGCCCATGTCATCCTTTCCACTGATTTGTGTGGCTCAAAGGTGTTTTGGTGTAGGTCATTTGCAACTGCAGAATCTGAGAGAGCTTTGTACAAGGAGGAGGAGGAGGAGG